GCCAGCCCCCCCCCCCCCTTCCCCTCCCACCGATACTGTATTATAGTACATGACAACAATACAGCATATTATACTATGCATTTGCTATAGTATATTATGCTATAGTGTATTATAAACATGATAACCCCTGGGGCTCCAGTTACCTATATAGTAAGTTACCAACCATATAATCTGAAGCCCATTAACCCATTATTTAGGTAACTGGAGCCCCAGGGAATGGCTAGTCACCATGGGCCAAGCTGGAGAGCCGGGCTGTATTATCTGCTGACCCCAGGAAACTCACCGCTCTGGACACTGCATGAACTGTCCAGATTTCGATGGTTTAGGGTTTAGGGTTCAGGGTTTAGGGTTTAGGGGGCTAGGGAGCTAGGGTTTAGGATTTGGGGGTTTGGGGTTTGTTTAGGGCTTCGGGTTTGGGGTTACGGGTGTAGGGTTCAGGGAAAGACATAAATCGCTTGGGCCTTTGAAAGACTGTACTACTCTGGAATCCGACACAACACAAAGCTGCAGGTGAAAGCGATGAAACCCCTCCCTCCAAGCAGCATTTAACTCCAAAACCGATACAGGCTGAGAAGTGGGCCACAGGGAGCAATTGTCTCAGTGCTTGGATGACTGGGCTAGAGATGCTCTTGTCAGAAGCTGCGGATGGGAAGCAAAGACTCAACTCCAGAGCATCTCCAACCAGATAAACCCTAAGCCAAAAACAATGGTGCTTTCGGGATAATGTACGGTCCAAGGGTTAGCCTCTAGACTCTTGAGGCGTGGACTTAGGCTTTGGAGTTTAGCTGCTAGGGGTTTGAATCTCGTTGATTTAGGGAAACCCTAAACCCTAAACCCCTAAACCCTAAACCCTAAACCTTGAAGGGCGGGTCAGGGCATCCCAGCTTTCAAGCCAAGAGGCAGGAAGCAGTAGGACCAGAATATCGAGATCCTGAGCTATCCCACCAACCCCCCAAAACCCAACTTTCCCAGAGGGCAACAAACAAAAAAAAAAAACTGTGCAGACATAAACCCTAAACCCTAAACAGAAGCCATTTAAAAAAAGATCCTTCAAACAAAAGGCGGCTCCGTGGGACTTCGCGGTTCCTCCTGCCCCTAAACCCCAAATTTCGCTGGCTTCCCCCCCACACCCTTCAGCCCTTAAAGGGCAACTTCCCGAGCCCCTAAAGTTCAGGGATCAGGGTTTAGGATGGAAGGGTTTAGGATTTGTTTTTTAAGGATTTAGAGCTCTCCCCATAGCCCTAACAGCCTAAGACCCCGAAATAACTCGTCCGCCTGTGGAAAGAAGAAAAACTTTTGAGAGCTTTCGGGCTTTGTCGGTTCGAGGCCGAAGCAAGCGCTGGTTCGGAGGGCTTAGGGCTTAGATTCTAGAGTCTTAACGGGTTTAGGGTGTGGGGCTTAGGTTCTTGGGATTTTTTCTTAAAGGGTTCGAGCTTGGGGCTTAGGATTTTGGGGATTTTGAAGTCTTAAAGAGTTTGGTGTGTTAGGTTTCGGGTATAGCGTCCGACTCTACAACCAGAGAGAGCCAGAGTTCGCTTGCAAAGGTCTGAGTACCTCCACCCAGCTGACGCCGCCGGTGATGCCTGGGCTTCTGCACTCTGAGCCCTCCACTGTCCCACACCCCAGCTTCCTTGGCAACATCCGCCCCCTAAACCCTGAACCCAAAACCCTCAGCCCTAAACCCTAAACCCTAAACCCGAAAACTCGGCTACTCGGCGCACTAGACAGCTCACAGGAAGGCCAAGAAGCTCATGAAGAGCGTCAGCATGCTGTCCTTGGAGCCACAAGCAAATTATGGGATCCTTAAGGGAGGGGGTTCTAAGAGGGGTGTCTAATCCAATAATCCCCGTTAAGGATCCGATAAGAATAAGTCGAAGAGGGCCGAATGAGAGATTTAGAGCTCGGAGCCAGAGGATCGAGGATGAAGGTTTAGGGGCTTTAAGGGCTTTAAGGGCTTTAGGGCTTTAGGGCTTTAGGGGTTTAGGGGTTTAGGGGTTTAAGGGGTTTAAGGGCTTTAAGGCGATGATTGTTTAGCATCATGAACCATGGTTGCTGCTGCTGCGCTCTAGATGTCTGAAGGAAATGTGGCTGCGCAGGGCATCCGCAGAAACTGTGAAGCAACGGGCTTTCGCCGAACGACGTTCGATCGTCCAACCTCAGAAATCCCGAAGCCCCACAAGCTCACTACGGAGGCCGTACCAATATCAGTTGGATGTAGGGCTCTACAGTCTATGCTACAGTTCCAAAAACAGCAACACTAAGGGATACTAACTACCCAAGCCCCTCTGTGACAGAGCCCCACAGGGCCCAAATCGACGGAACCCTGACTTGTAGGAGCAGACCCTTCGATGCGTGACAGCAGGAGCTTCAGTCTTCAGAGGTTCCAATAAGGGGCCATTCTAGTTAGAATAGGGTTTTGGGAATGTTCTGGTATACTTGTATTCAAAAGCCCTATGGAATGGCACTCTTTTTTCTGGAGGCCCCGACAGTAGACGGGGAGTTCAAAGGCAAATTCAAGGCTTCGAAGAAGTTTTAGAGCCTAGGTGCTGGCAACGAGGCCCAGTAAAGCTGCGTGGCTTCGAAGTCCTGTGCTTCGGAGCTTCACATGAACCCTCGGGGTAGCGATGAAAGGCTTTGGGTTTAGAGCTTAGGTTGAAAGTTGTAGAAACTCGACATACTATGCACTCACCCAAGGCCGACCGGCTTGAAGCCGGAAGCTTCTACAGCCAAAGGAGAAAGACGAAGCCTGGGTTTTTGGGCTTGCAACGCTTTAGGGCGAACCACGAGAATTCTTCCTTCCTTCTCTGATGCCAGCCCAAGTTGTCTCTTGCAGGCTCCCAGGATGGATCTAATTTTCGAGTTCTGGAGGCTACTTGGGGCTTGAGGGTTCCTGTCAAGAGGCATGCTAGAAGAGGGTAGACTGCACGACTTGAACTTCTTCATTGAGCGCTTGGACGGATCCACAGGGATCCCACATGCAGTGTTCGGGCCTTAAGTTAGCCGGATCCCTGGATCAAAGAAGTAGATCTCCCCAATTGGGATCCCATACTGCTAGAGTAAGCCGTCATGTATGGGAGTTCCTTCAAGGGACCTACTTTGCGGATCCTACCAAAAGGTTGAGGTAAAGGGGGATGCATCTCCTTAGCACTCAGCTGCTCCACGAGCGAGTCGTTGTTGTAGTCGTTGACAGCATCGGCGAACATCACCGCAAAGACCTTTCTGCGCGCAGTTTTTGAGGACCCCAATCTCTAAATCCTAAACTTTTCCCTCAAACCCAAAACCCCAACTTTTACTCCTGCTCCAACAACCCTATGCCCTAAATCACTGCAACTCGTGGTCCAGGCTTGGAGCTGGTACTGGGCCGAAGAAGCACAAGTACAAAGAAAGGCTCGGGACTTCAAGAAGGGTTTAGGGTTTAGGGTTTACGGTTTAGGGGGGCTTGAGGTTTAAGGGTGGAGCTTCTGGTTCCCTGTTGGGGCTATATTTAAAATTATCAGTTTTAAGCCTTCAAGGGGTCGTATTATAACAATAGTGTAAAACTGTAGCCAACAAGGACCCAGGCTTCTAGATAGGGATGATGTCACCTCAGAATCTGAGGCCCAGAACGGGCAAAGGCTATGCCAAGATCGGACCCCCTTGCGGTCATCGTCTAGTCTGCTCTTAAGCCCAACTCTGCTTATTGAGGTCCAGACAGCATCGACGCGTATCACCCCGAAGCACCGACCACTTAGGACCAAGCATAGATCACCAGGCACAGCAGGATCAGGGCCCAAAACCTGAGTTGGACAGCAAGGTTTAGGGTTTCGGGTTTAGGGTTTTGGGTGAGTAAGCTCTACATGAGTTTGGGACTTCGGGCTTAAGGTGGCTGTAAGCTTTATGACGTAGTGTGTAGGCCTTTCGGCCTGTTAAGACATCCCGCACTCGTCTTCAAGGAACCGAGAGTTTGGGTTGGGTTTTCCTAAACCCTAAACCCTAAACCCCTAACTAAACTCCCTAAACCGTCCCCTAAACCCTAAACCCTAAACCCCAAACCCAAAGCAGAGGGAAAGCAGGTCTGATCTCTGGAGTCCGTGAGCTCAGGATTGCTTCCGTTTGGCTTCGGGGCCGAAGGGAAGGAATAGGGTTTAGAGTCAAAGGTGTAGCCCCAACTAAACCCTAAACCCTAAACCCTAAAACCCTGAAACCCTAAAACAATAAAACCCTAAAACCCTAAACCCTAAACGTGGGGCTTCTGTGTTCCGTGCAGGGCTTCGTTGCGGCCGACAGGTTCAGGATGAGGAACCTAGATTTAAGGTAGAGACTTTGGGGTTTAGGGTTTAGGGTTTAGGGTTCTCTACCGAAGAAAGAAGGCTTCACGTCTTAGGGCTTTCGCAGTTTCGGGGGTCGTTTTTTAAGTAACCTGATGGAACGATCGGGAGCCGACGGGGCGAAGAGGTGAGGCTGAGGGAACCAACCTAAACCCGTCAGGTATGTGGGTAGTTCTCTAAAATAGGATCCCTTTTGGCATATTGGGAGCCTAAAGAGGGATCCGAATTTAGAGATCTACCCATGCTGAAGATAACTCAGATATTGTGTTCCGCAAACTGTGAACCGGAAGGTGGCGGAGTGGCGAGCATTTTTGGGTTGACAAGCTACTACCAAAAAGCTGAACAGGCTACGGAGATCGATGCCAGCCACAGGAATCTCAGACAGAATTAGACTTGTGCATAGGGAGATTGACTTCAAGAATACTAAAACTACTAGAGAGCATAGCAAGAACAACAGCTACATACAGCTACAAAGCCGCCATGCAGCAACGATTTCAAGGTTGAGAAAATCGAATCCACCAGCATGCGCAAGGCCATCACGAAGCGAAAGATCCGTACAAACTGCACGGCTCGGAGAAGGCGCGTGAGCCGGATGATTCCTCATCGCGGACAGGGGTCGGGTTTCCGTGCTGTTGGGTATGGGGTTAACCCATGTAGGGGTTTCCGAAAGTAGGGGACCCTAAAAAAGTACCCCTAATAGTAGGATCCTTATTATAAGGACCCCAGAATAAGGTACCCCTAATTTTCGGAAAGCCGCCACAAAGCCCTAAACCCTAAACCCATGTAATCATCGAGCGAGGCTCTGAACGACTTGAGATTTCTCAATCCCTGGATGGCCTCAATGCTCTGCTGCCTCGGCTGCCACGTCACAGCATTGGGGGGTCCATGTTTACGGTTTAGGGTTTAGGATTTAGGGTTTAGGGTTTAGGGCTTAGGGTTTTAGGATTTAGGGTTTAGGGTTTAGGGCCTAGGGTTTAGGGTTTAGGGTTCTGCTGCTTTTTGGTCTTCAGGTGTTCCGAAGAGATTGAAACTGAAAGCGGGTGACACCTTCGGGTGACAGGCAAGGCGATGGTCAGATTTGCAATCTTTGCAAGACAAGCGAGGTCCCAACAATGCCATGGTGCCCTTCGAAAATTGCGGTTATAACGTCAACCGCGACCTCCCACAGCGAGGTGAGCACCACAAAGACGTCCAAGCACTTCCATTGCCAGTCTTCTGCACTGCAGTACTTCCACTTCTGGGCACCCACCCGAATGACAAGCTCGAAGAGGAACCTTCGAAAGCAAAAGCACCATTCGGACATCTAAGCCAAGGCTCCGCACTACCAACAATATGAGGCATAAAACTGACAGCGGTTAGGACACTGACCAAGACTTCTCACAGAAATCCCTGCCAACAACAGGTCGGTAGCAAAGCTGTGTAGATGTACTGGGTCACCCTGTAGCTCAAAGGTCTTGGCCCCGGGTGAGAGATGGTGTGCTGCACGTCAACTCCGATAAACACGGCATTGCTCACCTGGGCCAATTCGACAATGCTAACGGAGATGCCAACAGAGATCGCAGTTGCCACGATTGTGATGACGATGATGACGGCGACATGATGCAGGTGATGACGGCCACAATGAAGAAGATGCAGATGATGAATAAGGTGAAGATGAAGACGAAGATGAAGATGGGGATGAAGGAGGAGATGAAGATGAAGACCAAGCAGACGATGATGATGATGATGATGATCATGATCATGATGATGACAATGGAAGAGGACGAGGGTGATGATTGTCATGATGTTTATGGTCATCATGGATGGTGATGACTGTGGTGAAGGTGAGGTGGGCACTGATGGTAAAGATGGGGTGCTAGGTGCGGGTGCTGGTAGGTGACCCTGGACGCGGTGGTGGCGGGGTGGCGGCAAGATGAATTAGGATGACGACGATGATGGTGATGATGGCGATGACGGTTATAATGGTTAATGACGGTGATGGTGGTGATGGCGGTGCTGATGATGATGATGATGATGATGGCGATGACGATGGTGCTGGTGTAGGTGGCGGTGATGATGATGATGATGGCGATGCATACGATGCTGATGATGCTGGTGGTGGTGATGATGGTGATGGCGCCTGGTGCAAAAAGCTCACCATCGCTTGTCCAACTAAACTTGTTCTTGCTGGTAGCATTGGTCTTGTGCCAATGGTTGGCAGTTGTGTTTATACAGTTTCCCGTCTGTTGTCTCCACTTGTGAGACGTTTGCTGATTTACCTTGCCACATTGAGTCGCGGTACTAGTACATAGTACCAGTAGTAGCAGTAATAGCAGCAGTAGCAGTAGTAGCAGTAGTAGAAGTGGTAGCAGTAGTAGCAGAGGTTGCTGTAGTTGCTGTAGTAGGAATAGCAGCAGCAGCAGCAGCAGCAGCAGCAGCCGCAGCAGCAGCAGCAGCAGCAGCAGTAGTAGTAGTAGTAGTAGTACTGGTAGTACTAGTAGTACTAGCAGTAGTAGTAGCAGTAGTAGTAGTAACAGCTGCAGCAGCAGCAGCAGCAGCAGCAGGAGGAGGAGGAGTAGTTGTAGTAGTAGTAGTAGTAGTAGCAGTAGTAGTAGTAGCAGTAGTAGTAGCAGTAGTAGTAGCAGTAGTAGTAGTAGTAGTAGTAGTCGTAGTAATAGTAGTAGCAGTAG